TGTGAGAGAGAGAGAGAGAGAGTGTGTGTGTGATGGTTTCAGATCTGTCCTCTATGATGTGCTGTTGGCATGTCTGTCATGTTCAGGGTTACAGTAACACACATTACACTCTGTTACATGTGTGTGTCTTAACTTTTATAAAGAATATCTCTTTGGATTTGAGACTTTAGTCTTTGCAACTTTACAGATCTTCTTTATGCACCAAGAGCTTGTAACACTCCAAAGAGAAAGGAACAGTTGAAATCGCATCATATGACCCCTTTAAACGTAATTGCACACGGAGTCCGAAATCGCATGTTAAAAAATAAATACAACCTCACACACACTGCCTCCGAAACTTTAGTCCGTCATAGAAAAAATTTTGGGACCAGGTTCCATTTCCTGAGTTTTTGCATCCATAGAAAGCATTTTGATAGGAAAGGATGACAAATACCAAAAAAAAAAAGCGAAAAAACGCAAACAATAATTTCGGACTCCGTGTGCAAGGACCTTAAGTCCGAACTTATGAGTGGCTCCGCAGATGAAGGATCCTTCTGTTCTTCTTCTAATCTTTCAACTTTGACCCCGCGCACATCAGTCGCGCTCCACATGGCAACAGCCTCTCCCAGTCTCCATGGCAACTGCTCTACAGTTGCTAGAGCAACAACAGTTGGCTGCCATGGCAACAGTAGTCACCCACCGCCTCTCTTGGCGTTTACGCTGGTGTTTTCACGCGCGTGTCGTCCTGTTGTCCCCCCCCCCGTCTGTCTCTCCGGCGCGAGCTGTGAGACGGAGAGAGAGGGCGAGCGAGCGAGAGAACGGAGGCTCGAGCGGCGGAGGGAGAGAGCGGCGGAGGGTGGGGGGGGAGCAGCGCTTCTGTCGCCCCTCAGTCCTGACATGGACTGCCTGTGTATAGTGACCACTAAGGTAAGACCGCTGCAGTGTGAGCAAGTGTGTGTGTGCGCGACGTGGCTAAATACCGCAGCGTTCTCACGGGCACGCGTGCGTAGTCTTTTCCCCTCCTGTGCAGCCGGTGAGTTCTCAATCATTCATGTTGCTGCATTTCCTGCCTGGAAACATCGAGCGTGATTCACTCGTGCACGCGCGTGTGTGTGTGTGTGTGTGTGTCTCTGTGAGTGTGTGTGTGTGTCTCTGTGAGTGTGTGTGTGGCCTGTTCATTAGATGCATGTTGATGACGTGTTGTTACAGAGTTGTTAATTGACTTGTCTTGATGTTCTAGTGATCTTCATTTTGAGCATTTAATATGTTTACTAAGGCGTTTTCTTCATGAGGAACTTAAGATTTTACCAAGAGCTAAAGATTAGTCTAGTTAGTGTGGGTCAGTTATAGGATTGGGAATCAAAAATCAATTCCAATTCCAGAATCGGATACTTAAGGTCAGGAATCGGATACGTCTTGTAAAATTTTAATTTAAATTCCATCTATCAATTCCTGTGTGCGCATCTTTTTTTAGCTGGCAAAAATGAGCTGTTAAAATGTATTTGTCTTTGAATCATTCATTCAAGAGATTCATTCAAATCCACTGATTCATCCAGTAATGAAACAAGTACATCTTGTGTGAGTCATTGAATCATTCCATTCGTACATTCCATCAGATTTTGTTTAGTTGTCTAATATTCTTTCTTCAGAATTGTGAGAGAACTACAACCTCCGTTAAAAAAAGTCCCAATTTATCCAGAATCAGCTCTATTTTGCTCACAAACAGCTCTTAATCGACTCCAGTTTTTATGCAGCCGGCTGATTTTATTCAGCAGCAATTAAATGTTTTGCAAAAATAAATATGTGTGATATCTAAACGTTTGACTTCATATTTAACCACATAGGAATAGAAACTGGGAATCGATGAGAAGCGGAATCAGAATTGATCAAATTCAAACGATCCTCAACCCTAGTTGTTTAGCTCCCGTCTGAAGAACTACATCGACAGACATTCAGAACAATCTGTGACAATACTTGTGTGTTCACACTGTCATTACCTATTTTTTCCATCCACGTATTTTTGTATGAAAATTTTGGGATATAGCATGATAAAAAAAAAACGCTGGTTGGACACACGAAGATGTGCGAATGTTCAAAAAATATGCATAAAGAAAAGAAACTTTTTTTATCTCAGCGCTGACATGGCCATACTGTTTTTTGTCTACTATACAGTAAGTAGGCGTATCCGGATGCAGCCAGTGTGTTATATCATGATATCATTTGGTCACATGACATTTACGGCTCAGTGGATTGGCTCGAAAACAAATGCTCTCAGTGAACATACATTTCTACAAGTGGGCGTTTCCCAGTTATAACGTTAGGATTTTCCAGTGTTCTTCACAACATTATACAGGTTTGCAAATGATGACAGAATGGCCATTTTTGGGTGAACTGTACCTTTAAGAGTGTGAGCTTCGTGTTCATTGGCTGATGATTGGCAGCTGTAATCAGTCACATGACTTTACAGTAGGGCAATATGGTAAAAAATTTAATCTCTATTTTGATTTTGTATTTTCATCATTTAAAGAATGTAACTACAGCATGATTGAAGTAACATTCATGACATTAATTCATAAGGAAACCTATATAGATCATTCCCTGCAGGTTTTTTTTAATCCCACGTGAACTGATTTTTCATAAACTACATTTTGCAGAATTATGTGACTGGCACGAGTGTAATACAGCATTTGGCCTGATCAGATGTAGAAATGACAGTGAAAAGTAATGATCAGATAAAGCCTACTTTATAGCTAAGCATATTAAAATAGTTCTCTTAGACATGCTCATGTCACATGCTGTTTTTGGTCTAATATACAGTAGGGATGAAGAAACCTGAGTGTGCTGCACACTTCAGTAGATCAGTGTGAAGGACCAGATGAATCAAACACTCGCTTTTCTGCATCATTAGCATCACTAATACAACTGCAAAAATTAAGATTGAAACATGCTTCCTGAGCGCTCCATTGGTCAGATAAACAGATAGCCCCGCCCCCACACACACGTGATTGGTCGAGGCAGAAGCTGACATGCCGCTCAGTCATCCAGATCAATGCAGTGAAAGCATCACAGTTTCACTCTTCAGGAATCAAACCAGCAGCTGCTCTGAACACACACACACACACACACACACACAC